ATATTATTATGCTAATTCCCGTTCTTTAAATAGATACTTCTAAGGTTTTTACTCTTTCAACACACGCATTAAAATGTACGATTTCCATTTCCGGCTGCAGTAACAATAATAATATAGTGTTATCATTATTATTATTATTGTTTCGAAAGACAATAATGATGATAAAAATACGAGTATTATAAACAACAATCGCGACAACTCCGCGCTATTTCACAACGTAACAATATTTTATTCTGCTGCTACTCGAGTTGCAGTTTGAATACCCCGGCCGCCGATGAATCTCGCATCATTCTCGCGTTATTATAACGGATTTCCTCATATATAATATAATAATCTCGTAATTATCGTATAGGTATTACGCTGCAGTGGCCGTTCTGCATTATTATAGTCGGCTCAGCCTTCGCATAGCAATAAAAATAACGTCGCATTTATTACGATTATAATCTGAGCGGTATTGTCAGTAATAAAATTGTCATCTCGCCTAATCGCGAGAAAATTGTCGCTGGCATTGGATCTGTCCGTCGGTCCGCAACGCGCATTAAACGACCGTTTATCAATCATCGTGAAGCAGAGCACAGTTGCACAGTAAAACTCGTTACGGGGTGAGGTACCACGTACGAGCGCGGTGACTAACGATGACATTAGGTTATAGGCGTATTATGTCCATGAAGGCGAACATTTCGGAAACAAAAATGTTTGATTTGAATTATTTTTCACGGATATTATATTATTATCGAATCCTCTTGGTCAATCTTAATACGCATAATTTTAAACGATATTTTCAAAATCTAATATCACTGTTAAAACCAACAAAACTGTACGCCAATGGTTAAATAATAAGCCACCAAACAGATCAAAAAAAAAAGTTTTTGAAAAACCCATCATTGAGAACTGTAAATAAGATGAAATAAATCGCCGTACGCAACAAAATGTATCGGAGAGAAGAGACTGCGATCGTTTAGAAATGCAATGCTCAAAAGTATATGAAAGACGGAATCACAGAAATGTATATAATAGTGACAAACGGGTAAAAGGTCGAAGGGGAAACCCGGAAAGTGTGCAAGAAATTGAAAAAGACCGACCCGGAGAAAATGGAGTGTATGAGAAAAATGTATTATTAGAGGTATAGACAGAATATGCAAAGAAGTTGGATGTTGATGGTTCTTAAAGAATCATTAAACTTTGAGTAAAATGGAAAAAAAAAACCTATTTAAATAATCCTCGGCTCGCGGTGATCAAATGGGTAAAATCATCGCCCTGTATTATTAATATATTTACACGTTTGCGGTCCACGGTTCGGGCGTCCTCATTTCGGGTGAAGTAGGGTAAAAGTCGGAGACCGTCACGGTAACCGTTATTTAGGGATTAAAACTCCGAGGAATATTAAAATATTATTCATCAAAAATACGGATTTTTTTTTTTTTATATACATAATTCGCTTATCTCCTTATGTCCTTGTGCTTAATAATAATAACACGCATTCAGCACTCACTGTCTCCGTAACCGTTAAGTTTTTTAACGGGGGATTTCTTCTACGGTAATATTATCATTATTATTATTATTATCCGCTATAAACTGCAAGACAATCGCGACTGTGACACTCGCGGACTTAATGATTACGCACGCCACAAGTTCGTGATGATAATATTATGCGAGCCGTCGAGGTACGCGCGAATTCGTTATCGCGGAATGTATTATATTTCCATTTAAATATCTTTTTCAATCCGTCTCCCTACACGATACGGTCGCGCAATACTATCCGCAGCGAGTAAGCCACTGCATTTTCGGTATTTTTTTCGCGAAGGGAGGAGGGGACCAGAGAAATCCTATTGTGTATTTCAAGTGTGCTATAAATTCCTGTTTTTAGATAATATTTTATTGGAATTATATCGGTGCCTGGGGTGGGGCTAAGTGGTCCGTAAACTCGCCACTGAATCCGGTTACTGCAGTGTTGTGTATAGAAACGTATTGAAATATCTAGATTCTAGATAAAAAAAAAAAAAAAAAAAAAAAGATAATTTTATTATTTACTTAGACATCATAAAACTAAATGTTAAGAGTAGCAAAAGTGTACGGTTTTTATTTTTTGGTACACTATACCGAAATAAATTTCAAAAAAGTCGTGCGTTTGATGTAACGTGAAAATTAATTTAATGATACAAATATTTTACCTAATACATCTAAGTTCTAATAAATGTTCAAATTACGGTTTAAAAAGATTTATCTATATAGTTCAATAATTATTTATCACAGATAACTAATTTCCAGATTATCTAAATAATATATAGAAGATAAAAAAAAGGTGTATATCTAAATAATAATAATACGACTGTCGTATAAGCAGTGGCGTGGCCAATGAGGGTGTGGGGTGTTTATGCGTGTTCATTATTTTACGATTTGTAGGTTAACTGCGTTTCCAATTATTTATACCACTCCTGAAAGATCGTTTTCTATAACGGACCGTATGAAATCGTATTGGACCAGGTATCGTAAATGGGTTAGCCACGACTAATCATCGGCGGATACCGGTAAACGAAAATCATCGCTGGAATTATATTTTTACCGACTTCCGATGTTCTTCAATATACACTATATTAATTTTGCATTTCTCGTTTCATTGTTCAATTTGTTTTATCGATTTGCATATTTCATAGCGCTGAATACGATAAAAATACTTTTCTTAAATTTTGTTTGGTGATTAGGGGGGGGGGGAGAAGCTGGGTCGAATGCCTCTAACTAACGCGGTCCGAGCAAAAACGTATTTTTAGCCTCTCTCTCCCCCCCCGCCGCGGTCAAATCGAAATTCCCGGCTACGCGCCACGTGTTGCGAACGGGCGGCAATCGTTTCGTTCATTCGTCGTTGCCGATCAATTATTCCAATTCGATCGATCACCGAGAAGCCGACAAACTCGAACGGTCGTGTCACATTACGGTCCCCCCAAGACGCGCGCCGTAATAACATCACGTGTTTTCGGTGCGATATGAAAACCGGTCATCGGGACGTGCGGGGCAAGTGGCGATTTCGCGGCAAGTACGAGGTATGGAAACGGTACGGTTATTTTCATTGTTCGCACACGCGTTTGCCCGTTTGCCCACGCGTTTCCGGTAGGCACCCGTACACTATAATAATAATAATAATAATAATGTAATACAGCGGTCGTACGATGCGGCGTCTTGGGAGAGAGCGCCCGGGTCCCCGATGAATGGAACGCGAACGTAATAAATTAATAATATATTATATGCTCTCGAACATACTTAACTATGCTGGTTTTTTTTTTTTTTAGTTTCGTTAATTCGCTTTCTTTACGTGTGCCAACAGAATCGAATCTCCGTCGATCCGTGTCCGTGGCGGACGGGTCGTATATTATTACGCAAACGGGATTCGAACGCGTTCGCGTCGACCGTTTCCAACGGAATAACCGTCATTTCGCATTTTAGCTACGTCCGAAAAGCTGACGTCATACGATAACTGCCCGTTTCAAACGAAATGTTTCCCGTCAGATTATTGTTTGAAAAAAAAAAATAATAATACAAATTACAAAAAGTTTATCGCGTATACGTCACTCGTTACGTATTCTGCAACGCATGAACGCACAATCGATTCCCAAACGTTCGTAGAAAAAAAAAATACTTTTCCGAATTTAAAAATTGACTCGTGTATTGTACAAATATTTATGCCGTGAAAATGCCGACAGACGCCGATATAAAACCTTTGATTCGGCATAATTTTTACGCACGGTGGTGGTTTTATTATCTGTGTCATGACGTTTGTAACGATTGACGATTTCACACTATCATCATTAGGTAGGTTTACGGTTTTCACTGCGATTTGACAAACCAATCGCAAAGTGCACGTCTTGCGTATCGTTTCCAAACTGATTCCACGGTCAATACTTACTGAACGCCCTCTCTGTACGGGGCGTCTCACGAAATAGGATCGTTTCGATTCTCCCGGAACCCGCGTTGACTTGTCGCGCCCGCCGTCCGCGGCGCAGCAACGGCCAATCGCCGTAGCGGTTTTTTTAAATAACGGCCGCGGGAAAACCTGTACGCGGTGTCGCGCGTTTTACGCGGCGGCCGCGAAACGGAACGGAAAAACGCGTGCGCGCTGCCGTTGCGCGAACGCGACGCTTCGCCCGACAGGGCCGCGCTTTCGGTAACGCGGCCGCGGCGGTCCGTTGCTGTGGGTTTTTGACCGTTCGCGGGTTTCGCGGCGAAACGGCCGCGCGCGTACGATAAAAACGTTTGACGACGACAACAATAATAACAATAAATTACGTTCCCGCGGTTATTGTTAATATTATTGTTGTTGTAATCGTAAACGGTTTTTTTTTTTTTTTTTTTTTTAACTTTTTCTTTAGGACAGTTCGGTACCAACTGCAGTGCGTAATAACGACGCGTTATAGTACTGCATTGTAATATCACGATGGGTACCGTATCGAATTTTATATTCAAATCCCTATGTACGTTACACACACGGGTTTCGGTCTATTAAATATGAATATTTAATTAAAATTACCGGCCGTGCGCGCTTGTTATGATACCAGCGGTTTTTTCTTGATGTTATTTGTGATTTTCAACAAATATTAATATTAGCCGTATATCAAAAAAAAAAAAAAAAATCTACAGCGTTTTTACGAGCGCATAACATTCCGGACGTCGCGCGCGCCAGTTTTTTTTTTTTTTTTTTTTTTTTTTTAGGCGTTTTATTATACTATAATACGATTTATTTCGTTCTTCTCCGTGCAGTCGGGTTATTATATGATAATAATAATATTGTGTTGACGATATCGCTTTGCGGACAAAAAAAACCGCGTCCGCGTTTCCGCGTATTAGTATAACACAAATATAATATATTATTATTACGACAACAACAATAATAATAGTAATAATAATCGGTACTCGCCTATGCGCGACGAAACGGTATAAAAAAAATTAAAAAAAAAAAAAAAAAAAAAACGTAAAAAAAAAAAAAAAAACAAACGTGATAAAAAGAAAAAAAAAGAAACGTGCATACGGTCGGATAATACGGAAAAATCGTAAAATTTTATTGTAATTTATTTCCGTCGTCCGTCGTTATACGCGTTTGTAATGCGCACTGCGACCGTCCGATATTATTGGTCGTATCGTGGCCGTTAAACGCGATGCTTCGGCCGTAATATTATTGCAGTCGCCGTACGGTTCGTGACCGACTTTGTATGGGATAGGGACACGGGTACGCCGCGCGCTACTATTACCCGCGGTTACCGCGGTTACCGCGCGTTATAATTGCGCGCCGGACGTACGAATTATTGTCACGGCCGGGGCACCGGTCTACGCAATAATAACGTGTGGCGTGCCTACAACTACGTCGGGATCGCGATCGGGCTGCAGACATTTTGGATGAATCGTGTGGCGAAAAAGCGAAAAAAAGAGCTATTGTCGAACAGTATTGCAACGTGTTCCGATTTTTTCCGGCGGTGTCTATCGTGAAAAATGCGAAACCTCCGTCCGGCGGTAGTCCCGACCGAATTTATTTTCCGCGATTCCCGTCGTGTTCTTTTGAAAGTTCATAAAAACAACAGTATACGAACGAAGACGCGCTTCGGTGTTTGATTCTGAGCGCAGCGAAAAACGTCGGCATTGGTTTTCCTATGTGCGCTAATTTGGTATGTCTGTCAATAACTTTTTTTTTTATCAGAATTATTGGTTCGATTTTCAAGTTTGGAATGTTTTCTGAAAAAAATAATGATTTAGTTAATTTTCTTTGTCGTCTTAATTGTCGGAAAACACTGGTGAAGTACTTAGGAAAAACGGGAAAATTTAGGATAATAACGGTTATATTGTTCTCAATTTCTTTTTTTTGTATTTTGTGTAAGCGGTAGTAGTGTTTTTTAATGGTGACCAAGTAACAGAAATTTTACATCTTGGAACGATTGGTTTTTTTAATTATGCAAAAACAAAAGTTTTCAAAAATAAAAAAATTATATTAATAATAATAAAAAAAAATTGCGTAAAGAGGTAATTTTTAAAGTATACGATTTTAGTAGTTCTCAATCAATTTCCATAAAGTATCATAAAATCTTTTTACACACTATATTCTTTGTAGACTAATTGAAAAATAATTAAAAGAGATGCAAGATAACAAACGGTAAATGGTATTTTCTTTAGTTTTCAAACAAAAATAATATTAATATTTCTCTATGTTACCAAACAGTTTCGACATTAATACATTCCTTATATTATTATACATTTTACTTACATAACTACGCAAGAAGGGTTTTTGAGTGAAGTGACCAGAGAGCAGAGCCTCCAGCTAAACATATCATAATTATAACATAAACAATTTCGCCAACACTAGTTCGCTAAAATGAATAGCTTGAATTGAACGTTTCTCATAGCTGGATTATGATATTGACAGTGCAAACAGAATAATATATTGTATATGAACCACTCTATTATTTCCGTATACGATTTATTTTATATTATATGATTTATACCGCGTACAAAATTATGTTCAAAAAATATTATATACACACAAGATTTATTTCTGTTTGTCCAATCGAAATGCCCGTGTATGATTAACTTTATTGTTAATATCGCCAAACATGCGACTGTTCCCGCACACACTGCAATAAATTAGATGTTACATGTTATATTTCTCTGTAAAATTATTCACTATTTTAAATTAAAAGCCGGCAGTATTAATTTGACGATGTCGACGGTCATATTACAATATTACGTTCAACAAGCCTAGCCTTATAACGTCTCGCCGAAATTCAACGACATCGAACGCTGTCAAATATCTGCGACATAATAAGAACGGTCGACGAACATAGACTTCGAAAACCAAGTTACGGACGTCGGACATTGCGAAGTTTTCACAAAAGNAATGTGTTGGACTGCAACTGTTCGTTGACTAAATTGAATGTTATTGCTTATCATAACTATTACAAATATGAATTTGGGATATTTTGTTTTTTGTGCTCTTATTGCTCTATTGGTCCCATTCTCTACCGTACCGTTCAATGAAGACTTCGATGTAGCCAACGATGGCCAAGGACGTATTTACGGATTTGCCATATGTAAGGGTAGAGGTGGAGGAGGGCGTGGAGATGGACATGGATTAGGGTATGGAGGAGGGAGTACGGGAGGACCTTATGGGGGAAGTGGTTCAGAAAGAAGTCCAGGAGGTAGTGCATGAAGTTAGTTATGGGGAAGTCCAACGGACAATTCAAAAAAAGGGAAGGACAACTGGTGGTCTAAATAGGCTTTTCGACATCCGTTTGGAAAAAAGAAAAAATATAAAAAAAATTAGGTGGCACCCACAATCCAAGTAAATCTACAGGATAAATCTGCTAGATCCGCTACACGCTTTGGCATCTTCGACCCGCTCACGTGGTAACCAAACTTCATGTGGCCAAAAAGGTGTTAAAAAATAGGTTTAAGCATCTTAAGAAATTGAAATTATTTTTATACATGAATAGGGTTTTCGTACAGTTGTTTTACCTATTGTTTCCCTTGTAGTAATAATAAATCTTATAAGAAATGTCTCGCGCACGGTGTTGCGGTCGACACTGCCACTACAATAGTAACTATTTGTGTACCAAATAATAATTGTCTTATTTTGTATTATATTTAATAATTTTTTTTTTTAACTCAATTTACCGTTGTACTTTAAGTTATAATATGTGGACAATTCCAGCCAAAATAACATTCTCCTCCGTTGTATTTAATTGACTGTCATACTGGTGCAATGTATAAACTACTTAATTAGTGCATTAACACGTATACTATTTATTATTAAATTAAATTGTACCCATTATCATATTTTTATCAAAAAAATATGTCCACGAAATGTGTTATAAATATTAATATTTGACTACTATTTACCAGAGTTTTGTAGGCGTTTATATAAAAATAACTAAAAAATAAAACTAATTACAATGTAGTATCGTTGTAGTTGTATAATGTATTATTATATGATGTATGGCATGCGCAATCATGAAACGTACAGCCTTAGAATTATAATCAACCCGTGTTCATTTATACATTAAATTCAGGTCGCCTATTGACGACGACATTATTGTTTTAGTTAAATATCAAATAAATAAATACTATGCATCAATCTGCATCAGCCGTACTTTAATTGTCTAAATATTTTATGTTAAATTATATATTTATTTATGTAAACGTGATAAATTTTTATAATAAATTGCTATGTTGCATTACATACGGTACGGTTTGAATTAAACTTTTCATTCTTATATGGAAGTATAATAAATGAGTATTGTTCGTACTGCGCTTGTTCTTTCACGATTATTCGAGTAAGTAGTCGGCGTGAAGTTGGCTTGCCTTTTTCGGCGTGCCTTTCGATTATTTATGTGGTTGTATGGCTAACTTCACGACAATAAACCTTGTGTATTATTTGATGATGATCCGTTTGGTTAACGATTTTATGAACCCATATAAAACGGATTTAAATTATGAATCCATACTTAACGATATGTTATCTTGGACCTAGCTTATAATATAAAATGCTTTTTGCTTACTTTCATTAGTACTCAGAATTTTTCACTAGTAAATGGTGATAAAACTGCATGTAAATATTGTAATAAATTATATTTACCTACATGATTTTTTGAAGAAGAAACAAAATTTGAAAAATTATTATTCAATATCGTGTTGCATTGACAACGACGACGCTAGCTCAGGAAAAGTCGTTTCGGTGTCTCGGAGGGAAATAACTTCTGGTGATACTAGCGTAAGACCAGTGGCATATCTTGATATTGAATGAACTTATTTTATTTAACATGTCATTTTCCTTCAATAATATCATTCTGAATGGTAGGACTTCGTACTGGCCATTATATAATTTTCATTTGACATTTCAAAATGTAATGTTATGCTCACGTAAAATGTATGAAATCATTTGTATTTATTACTAACGTGTGACTTTGGATACGGCCGAGTACTCGGTATTTAGAAAAAGAAAAGTTGTTGACATAATAAATACAAGGGGCATTTGTCATTCGAGAGAGAAATAGTTAATTACATAATTCTACGATCATATTAACACATTCGTAATAATATGAGAATGAATGAGAATAATAATAAGAAGAATGAAATTCTTAAAACAACATTATTATTAAAAAAAAAAAAAGAGGGTTTTCATTGTAGTTTCGTGATTAACGGATCACCATTCATCGGCCCTGACGCGTAAATATCCTAAACGAAAATAACGGTATTTTTCTAGATGTTTCAAACTATTCACTCGCGCGAGAAATCTCTGTATGGTCACTCTGCCAAGAACCCTGTAACAAGTACAAATCACCAACTTCTTTCGAACTCACCTACTTTTAGCAGCTAATCACTCGTGTCTGGTTTTTTTTATACATTTATTTTATTCAATTTAACCTTTTGGCCATCCTAATTTAAAAACTGGCATTTTTTATTTGAACGCATACAGGTGTAAAGTATTAATTATTTAAATTAGATTATTACAATTGAATTGTTCCTGCCGTCCAATAACTCCAAGATCACGTGAGGATATCTACAGGTATACACCCTAACGTTCCGTGGACGGGTAAAACGATAATATATTTCTGATTTATGGATCTTGTCACCATTCTTCGATTCACGACTCCGATTCCCTCCAAACATCAGAACTCAGGAGGATAGTAGAAGGTAGTAATATAATTAGTAAGCTGAAGTTTTGATACCTATAGTTACAAATTATTTATTATTTTTTGTTACCGCAAATGAAGAGAGAATTTCATAACCAATACAGACCTATACCTATTTGGGTTACTACATAGAGCCAACCCATTTTTACATTTATATTTATTATTTCTCTCTTTTTTGTGTTACTACAAATATGAGATAAAAAATATAAAAGCGAATTATTGCGTTGTATTCGAAAAGATAACAAAGTACGGAAAATATCATAATTATACAATTTTTATTCAAATTTCATTTTAAAATGCTTATACAAAAATATAAAATCTACTCTCTATATTATATATACACAATTATTATTCGTAGGTATGATATATTTATACTATTGGATTTATATTTTCAAACAATTGTATACACACAGGAAACGTGTTATTTTGTTGAACTAAAATGCCCGTCGATGGTTAGCTTTTTTTTTAGAAAAGACAAATAACACGGTTGCCGCACATGTGGTAATAAATCAGAATGTGGCTTGTTATATTTTTCGATAAAACTATGCATAATTTTAATTTTAATGTAGTATTATTTTGGCGAAAAAACTCGACTAAAAAATCAGCCGAAGTGTTTAAAAAAGAAAACACGTCCGATGGTAAAAATTAATTGTTTAATAATCGGTAAAGGGAAACAATAGAAAGATGCGCAGAAGCAGGATTTAAAATTATACAACTATATACAAGATCCATTTTCTGATAAGATAGAAGAATTTACTAAAAACAATAAAATGGCAAGTAAAATATTGAGACAAGAAAAACGAATAACGGAAAAAGAATCTATCCAAAAAATAGGAGAGCATAGCTTCAACTAAATCTAGCTAGATTGATAAAAGACGGTGTCAAGCCTCAAACCCGTACGGTCAAGAACCACGATAGATACTCAATTACGAATTAAGAGGGTATCATCCAAAAGTTCCGAACGTATTTTGAAAAAAATTTAAACACCAACCACGGGGATACGGAAGAAAGTGAATTGTGAGCTGATACACAGCTCAGCCTCTCCTAGAGGAGCCAAACCGGGAAGAAGTGGAAAATATAATCAGAACATTGAAAAATAACAAAGCCCCCGGAGAGGGTCATATTAATTCCGAGGTAATAAAGATAGGTTACACAACTACTTGTAACCAAAATTCACAGACTACTCTAAAAGAAATAAGCAACATCGACCAAATACCTGAATATTGGAAAACAGCTATAATTTGTCCCATATTCAAGAAAGGCTAGCTATCCTATGAATACAAGAAATTACAGAGGAATATTTATTGAGCTATTAGACTTCTGTTAAAAAATCTTATCCCTAACACTATTACGAAGTATAGGTAAGTACTCCAGAGATACCTGTATATAATCGGAGACTATCAAAGTGGTTCTGTGAGAACTATCCAGTTCTGACCATATTTTCACAATCAGACAAGTAATGGAACAGTATTATCATTGTTATCATAAAGCTTTTTATGCATTTACGCAAATCAAATCTGGCCGTTGAGTCACGTTACTTTCGTAATAATAATATTAAACCTTAGAAAATATATATTAAACTCTAATTCCCATATCCACGGTCTTAAAACAGTTTAATGCATAGTATGCACGGATATAGAATGTATCTATTAGGGAGGTTGATATTATTATGATGATAACAACATTAATACCCAATCAAGCAGTCTTTGTTATCACACCAAAAAACATTGAAAAATCGTTTTTAACAATCGAAACTGTTTTGTTACTTTTTAAGTTAAATAACTTAAAAAAAAAAATCGATTTTTTTCAGAAAATTGTTCATCAAAAAATGTGTTTATTTTACTTAACTGCGTATCTTAACAATGGAAAAAAAAAAAAAGTTCAAAGTACCTATTATTGTAGTGTACCTAGGTGTATATATTCTATATTATCGTTTAATTATATTTATTGTAAATGGTTATTTAGCGTTTCACCACAACGGATATGTTTAAAATAAACGGCGGTAAATATTCGACTCTAGTCGCGGAGCTCGGTTGCTCACAGGTGGTTTTTTTTTTCTTCTATCTCGTACGAACGTCGACGATAAAACACCGGCGAATAAACTGTTATTATTATTATTATTATACAGCCGTATATACGTGCATTTACATCGAATCGTAATAATAATATAATTATTATAATTGTTGTAACGAACGTCTTGGGCCGCGTTTTTGTTAAACCGTCGCGAATCGTTCGCGGACCCGATCGTATCATTGCTGCGCGCGCACAACTGTACATAATGTATACCCACCTACCAATAATAACGACCATGGAAATAATAATAATAAAATACGAGTGCGCGTGTATATATGTGTGTATGTATAGTAGATAGGTTAGGTTGATACCGCGATAACCAGCGTGCGGTAAACGAACGTCGTCGGCGTTTCCTATTCCGTCCCCTTCGGTCCGAAAATCCGGTCCGGCGCGTGCGGTGATTTAGCGAAATATTATTATTATTATTATTATTATTTCAGTAATTACGCCCAGCTGTCGTCCGCCGGCCCGTCGCGATAATAATAATATTATTGTTATTAACGTGTGCGCGAGATAATAATACGGATAACGGTTATCAATTTTCTCCGCGTCCGGATGTATTTTAATATCGCCATTGCGACTCGCGTGCGTGTGTACCCGGAGTCGTTATCGGTGGTTTTTTCTTTTTTTTTTTTTTTTCTACCGTAAATTTAATTATCGAAACGGTTCTCGTCCGCCGACGTCTACGGCGTTACCGCAATATCGGACCCGTTCCAGTATCGCCGGCGCGATCTCGTAGGCACGTACCCTCCTGTGAAACGCCCACGGCGCGGGAGGCGTTAAAAATAATAATCATTACCTACCGTAACGATTGAATAAAATATAAGCCGACGACGACGGCTCGTGTCATTCGCGGACCCACACGTCGTTCGGTCGGAATGCCGGATATATAACGCGTTGCGCTCAGCAATCGCGAATCTATAATATATGTGCATGTATATGTGCCCGCTACGGTATACAGGTTACAGAGACAGAAAAAACAAAAAAAAAAATTGAAAAAAAAATCGTAATCACATAAACCGCAAATTAATAAATAATATTACAGGTATTGAGATCGTGCAGACGCACAGCGCGTGTGCGCTTTTTTTTTTTCAGCGACGACGAAGCACGAACGAATAGTATAATTCCGAACGATAAAAAACTGATAAAACGCGTGGCGTGCGGCATAAACAAAATATACGAGGGTGACTCCTCACGACAAACGACAACAGCGCCATCTATACAATTGAATTATTTAAATCCCGGTAGGTAGCATTTTATGTTATGTTTATCGTAACGGGCGGTTAAAATAAAGTGGTCATTGCAGACGATTTTCACGGCGGATGTAATGGTAATGGAATGGTTTCACGATGGCAGCTCGGTAATAACTTAAAAAGTGGCCCATCAACTGCAGCGATTAAAGAAGCGAGGGGAGATTATTGCGTGATTTTCTTCCCGGTGATAGTGACATGATGATGGTCCGTCAAAATCGAAAAAACCAATCTAATGATTGAAAAATAAAAAATCCACATATATTGAGCACTGAAAATGATATTCTTTACATTTTCGATAAAAATATTAATAAAATACCTACTGACCGTTAATACATTGGCGAACAATTCAGCGTGGAGTCTAGATGAGGCCACTTTTAACACAAACAAAATAATAACACATCGTGCACCGGGGCGATTGACTACCCCGGCGCGACCTTTACAAATATAACAGCTTGCGGCTAGTCCAGGACCTCGGCCGCTGTATCCCCTTCACCCGGCGGCCCCGCTGCCAACTCCTTCTGCATTACGGTCACTTGACCGATAACATCGTAGTCGTTGTCCCGGTACGTTTTCCGCAGTTCAGTCGCGTTCGTCGTCCCGCCACCGCCGATGTCCACGAGTGACTTCGCCAACGTCACCGACGCCTCGGCATTTTCGTTCGCGGTCGGTCGAAATTCCCTTTGGGCCACGTAATATACCACCGCTAAAACCTGACGGGGTGTTACCGGTTAACGTTGTAGATATACACCTACAATACGCTTTCATTGTTTGTTAACAGGCAGATTCGTTTATGACGAACCTGCCGCCATAATCTACGAAGATTTTTAGTAGATTTTGATAACGATGATTTTTATTTATTCCCCCCTCCCTTAAATGTAAAGTAAAATCGAATATTGCAAATTCGATTTTTTTTTTGAATATTTTACAAATTTTGTGTTTATGACTCTCGCATGTAATCCAAATGTTTACACTGAGATCCGAAAAAATAATATTATACACTGATAAATGCAATGATATGATAATGATATAAATTATACCCCATTCATTAGCAACTGTTACTATTATTAAAATTATTATAAAAGTTATAAGCACAGATTATAGATTTTTCGAAAAAACAATATTTGTATACTACACGTAACATATTTAACTACACTATAATTTTCGAATCTATTATCATACTTACGAATATGTAAACGATCGCCAGTCGAGAACGCCCACAGTATCTCGTTGATATTGTGATTTTCATCACAAATCCAAAATCGATATTGGTTTGTTTCCAGATATTCACGAACACTCGCGGTGTATTACAACGATCGTGTACTGATATTTTTTTGGTAGATACTGAATATTTAAACTATCGGACGGGTGCACATGACCGAGTTAACAACGCCGTCATCACCAGCTAATCAAACACTTTTGTTGAAGGCAATAAATCGTAAACGGATCCGTGTGTATTGTCTATAATACGAAACATAAAAAAAACAAACGGACATACTTCGCACGATGGGCGGGTCACTGTTGTAAGTGTAAAGTCGAGAAGGTAGAGGGGAAATTATATGCATGTCCGTACGCAACGATTAATCGTTGCTAACGAAAAATAATTCCGAGCAAAGCTCGGTTGTATGTGTTTTGAAAGGTCGTAATATTTACGATTTAAAAACAATGTATCCCGTACATTTTTCCATTTTTCCTACGTTTTCCTCCATTCATTATGAAAACGGCTTTGAAAATAAAAAAAAAAAAAAAAACGACCACCTTAAAGTACCGCCCCAGTCTGATTATTTTCCGGAAAAAATGCTACACTTGAGAACATTTGACAAGGAGTACAAACATAGTATATCGCCTATAATCTCATTTAAAATGTATTTTTCAAGGCAGTTGCGCAATGTCTCATACGAATTCGTCATCATTATAATTAGTTGATATTGAAAAATTAACTGTGATAATTAATACTAACGATTTATTAGTTTAACTAACCGGTTGATCCGTTATAGTAATAAAATATAATGTTTTAATATATTACAGGCATCGGGATAGATGAACAATATTGTTTATGTATTGCGATGCGTTTCTAGATAAATTATTGATAAACGATAAGTCACGATCAACGAATGATCCGAAATCGTGACCGATGGACCGTTACGAGTAAAACGTAACGGTCCGTTAAAATTTACAACACGTATGTGCAATATTCAATGTTTTTAACCGACTCGTTAAAAAACCGCTGATCGTCCGTTAAAAAATGTTCAAACGATCATTCATGTAACTCGGCGTAACATTTGTGTTTGTTTTTATTTTTTTTTTTTTCTAAACGGCCACGTCCCGCACCGGGCCCAATAAGACCGATTCCGTCGAATTTCCGCGTGCACACACTCGCGAAGCCGTACCGGCGTCGGCGCGGGACGTCGGCGAACGACAATGCGACGCCGACGCACCGAGAGTGTCTGAACGGAGAAAAAAATTAAAAAAAAAAAAAGAGAATACGTACTCGCGGCAATCGTTTTCGCGAGTTGTGTGTGCGCGCCGCGCGGCTAGACGGGCGGGTGCCCGTGTGTTGTAATGCCCGCGCCGTAATGGCGTGCGAGCGTAACGGTCTCGCGGCGTCGTTACCGCGCGCGGTCACGTCCTCAACGCTCGCGCCCCGGCGGCCCGCGAACAATATCCTCGGTATTTATATGAAAAACACAATGTAATAAAACGACGGCGGCGGCGGCGGCGGTCGTTATAGATGAGAAAAATAAAAAAATCGCGCGCGTATCACACTCGAGCGGGCGCCTATACAGGGCGATTATTTTACCGCGAACCGGCGGTTTTCCCCGCGGAGGGTTTTAAGCGAACCCGCGATTCGTTTGGGCTCCGTTTCACCGCCCCGAAACGAGCGGGACGCCGTACGGACCAATAAACAGCGACTTGTATCCCACACTGCCCGCGCGACGGTGTCGGATTTGCCGTCCGCGAGTCCGCCGTGCGCGACGGACGGTTTCCGTAATATCACAGGGTTCGGGCCGGAGCCGAGTATAATATGCCGGGGGGGTTCGTTTAACTGGGTACACTCATTATCTCGGAGACCATTGACTTGTTCGGGAATTCGTTTTCCGGAACGATTTAAGTAACAAGCATGCCACCGCCACTCTCCGCCAACTAAAAGATATTATTAGTAATATGTCTCGTCAACGGATTGACGGAAATCGAAAATTCCAACACGGACAATTAGTGTGACGAAAAATAACACAGAATACATAAACTCGTGGAGCTAGCTTGTTTTTCAAACCGTTCTGGAAAACGAATTCCGGAAAAACACTGTGCTTTCCGGGACAATGGGTGTACCCACTTAAACGAATCGCCTCGCACGCGTATGAGACGGCCGGACGAACCGCGCGACGAACAGAATCGCCCTGTATTCCGGGACCCGGCGCGGACGAGAATACTATCGCCGCCGCGCGACAACAACGCGAATAATATAAGTAATGTTTATCGTCGCGGTGCTTATCGACGCGTTCGCGTTATTCTTCCGGGGGCGGCCGGCCGCGGATCCCGGGCGCCGATAACGGCGCGTTCGTTTGGCAGCACAATGGCCCGGGCGGCGGCGGCGGCGGCGATAACCGCGATAATTGTGAATATCGTCGCGGGCACCGGTCGGCACTATTACGCGCCGGCCGGAGACCGCCGCGACCGTATGGCGTACCGACGACGGTCGTTATTTCGTAGGCCGGGTCGTTTTGTGATGACGATAACAATAATAACAATAATAATAATATTATTGAAACGGTGCGCCGAGGACCGTTGAGCCGGAGGGGCCGTTCGTCGTTGCGGGGGTTTTCCCGCCGCCGCGCCGCCGGCCGGTTACAAAAAGCGTTTGCGCACGCCGCCGCGCCGACACGAGTGTATTACGCCGCGGGGCTCGGCGCGGGGAGACGTCACTTATCCCGATATCGTTATGGGAAACGGGCTTTGGCATTTTGGACATCCCCGTAGGACTCGGTTCGAAGCTGCGAGGCGTTAACGAGTTAAAAAAAATGAAATTCAAGTTAAACTTTTTAACTTGATCAGTGACGTTCGGGTTTCCGTTACGTCAGAGGAAATCGTGGTGTAGAGTTTCAGCAATTATTTTTATCCGTAATAACTGTCCGTGAACAATTTGATATTACCACGTTAGTTTGTCACGTCAATCTGAATCGGATGATCCAGAATTTTTTTTTTTTAAGTATTCGTACCTTTTATTAATGACTGTTTAAACCAATTGAACAAAATATTTAAATCGCACAGGATTGTTTTGAATAATTTTGATTGATTTCTGGTATACTAAATATTCAAATTTAACATCTCCCGAACTCAAGAACAAAAATAATATTGAAGTTACTTCCAAACTAATCCAAATGTTTATCCAGTAGTATCTAAACTTCTTCAAATATACAACACTTCCAGTGTCTACTACCACGGGAGAACGTTCGTTTTCAACACTTCGTCGTTTGAAAACATATTTGAGAAATTCTTTGGAACAAATACGTTTAAATGGTTTAGCCTTACTAAAATATATTCATCGCGATATCAACGTGGATATCAATGATGTCATATATGAACTTGCTAAAACATCAAAACGAAAAACGAATATGCATTTATAATTTTTTTAAAAAGATAAATATTTTAATTTTTATATAATTAACGCTCTAATATAGTAATAAAATGTTTAATGTATGATTATGGTACACGCAAAGTTCAAAAGAATTTCATTTATTACATTTTTTTCAATCCTCTCCCGCCCGAAAAAAAAAAATGTTTGGATACGCCACTGAATACAGTCATCAGTCGATTGACTATCGCTTTTTACACACGCATGCACGCAAACCAATCGTATCTGTATGGTTTGAATAAATAAAACAATTTATGTACTTTTAACTTTTAAATATTAATGTATTATTATTTATTTCTTATTAGTTAGGTATAACCATTGTTATTTTATTTAAGTAACAAAAACCTTCATCACTTTATAAGACTAACGTATTGAAATACTGTAGGTACTTAAAACCCCACTAAACACTAAACAAACAATATATAGTCTTAACATTTAAGTTGGTAAATAATAAATAAGAATATAGTGTCATAAAAAAACAAAATAATAATAATTAATTTGTTTAACTTAGTTTAAAAAAAAATGTGTTAATTTTTAACTTAACTAAGTTAAAACTAAAATTAAATTGATTTAACTGAATTAAAAAAAAAATCATTAACTTGTTTAGCCTTGCTTTTATTAAAAGTAAAAATTTGTATAATTTTAAACTTTTAACAAAAACTTAAACAACTTTAAAAAAATAAATGAAAACTCGTTTACTTTTTCTTTTTTTTTTTCTATCTTATTTCTTCAAAAAATCGACCATTGGCCCTTCTTGCATCAAGCCACAGAATGATACACGGGACGATAAAACCGCGGGTTCGTTTTTACATTTTATTTCGTCTACTGTATTGTGCATGATTACCCGTCACTAACCGCTTCTTTTTGGATTTGGTCATATTACAGATCTTAATTCGCTTGTATTTGATTGACAGTTTTCAGAATTTTGTTTGGCCTGTATTATTAAATCAAAGCTTTTGTTATAATTTAAAAAATAAAAATCTAATAGATTATTAATAGATAATTTGATCGCTACGGTTTTCATAGAGATATATACAAGAAAATTATATTTACACGGTATAATATAGTGTACCTATAAATTTGCAACCAACCTGTGCCGTATCTTTTAACTATTGGCTCCAAAGAGTAAAAAAAAAAAAAAAAATCGTTTTTCGTTTGAAATAATAAATCGTGGCGTAGCGTATACAGTACCTATATAATAAACTAAACATCTGCCCATCTGCACCGTCAGCTTACATCAGTGCCTATACTCACGAGCTGTATATCTATTATTTATACTTTTAATTTTTTTTCTTCTACAAGGAGCTGAAATCTGATCTAGAATATTTCCTACATTCGTTCGTCGTGTAATCATTTTTTTTTTTTTTTTTTGTACCACCGAATAGGGTAATAATTTACGCACAGTAAATCGACTCCGGACAATATCCGCAAATAACAAGCACTGCCGATTCAAGGATAAACGTGAATTTTCGCGCCTGATTACACGTACACAATGATATTGTAACGGTGTACGGGGTTTTCGCACAATGAGTAGCGCGGTGTTGGTTAAAACGGCGTGCGCTATTAGTCAATAATAGTCACTAGTACTAATACCCATGCTAAATTCGTACAATACCGTCACCGCCTAGCGCCCGGTCAGAGTCGTAAAAAAAAAAAAAAAAAATATATATATATATAAATAATAACGATAAGAAAAGAAATAAAATACTATGTTCCCAAATACGGTTCGTAATAAATAAAACTCCGTCAATAACGCTCGTTCGCGGCTCTATATTATAATAGATTCGGAGCGTACAGAGTATGGTATTGATGTTTTTTTTTTTTCTTTAAGCAAGTTTTCTACCGGAACTCTTGCACCGATGTATCAAGTGTAGCAACTTTTCTGAAAGGAGTTTTCGTCCGGTTGGTACTTAGAACAGGTCGTTTTTCGATTTTCCTAGCGGTTTTCATAATAATCGGAAAAACCGGAGGAAAACGTAGCGAAAAAAAAACCGGAACGTAAAACGTGTAATCGTTTACCGTTAGTTATGGTTTATCGCTATCGCGTACAGATATAAATTAAATTCCCCTCTATATCCTATTTTTTTTTTTTTTTTGTTCTTTTCACGTGGAAAAGCGGGGGACACTCTGTCGTATATTCTCAACAAATATAAAACGCGATCGTCCGGAACGGCTTCGCCCGCCTAATCGCCAAGGACTTTTTTTGCCCTCGGACGCACGCGCGTTAAGAATGACTTGCGATCGCCGGAAACGGGTAGAGCCGGCGGATTTCCGGTTTACCTGCAGCTTTTCGCGATACTGAGCCGGTGGTTAATCGTTCGCGTGGTACACCGTACAACAATTTGTTTGTTTGAGTGCGATTTTTTTATCGTTATTTTTTTATTATTCATCCGGACATTTAACATTTCGGGTCGAAGCAACTCGGGTCGGCGATCATTCAGTTCACTGGTCGGTCGGACTTGACGCCGTAAAAAAGTAACTTGCTCGTATCCACGACCAAACTCAAAGCGTCGAGAATGAAAAAAAATAATTTAAGTCTATAGAACCTATAGTATAGATTATTAAATTTAAACTTATCTTATCTTAATGAATTAAAATAAGAAACAATTTAACTAGGTAACATTTTTACAGTTGACTTTTAATTTTTAGTTAACTTTTCTTAATTGACTATAAAAATTCCACAAATTTGCTCAGTCAGCTCAGTACTGTAAAATACGAGTACAAATATGCATATTTGTCTTTTATATCTAATTATACCTAATGAGCGTTTTTTTTTGTGCGACTCATGATATGGTTCACTATAAATCACGAAAACGATAACACCGCTTATAGGTATCTAAGCGCTGTACGCAGGTAGACATCTCAACCCAATAACACGCGATAACAAAGTTAATTTAAAATGTTGTTTTATCGTTCTTTTTTTTTTATCATTCTGTACGAAATCCGAGACGCGCACTGTAACTCGTACAAGCGACGCGCAGATTTTTGCCCGTTGTACGTTAGATTAGATGGTCGGCCGGGCTACGCATACCTACCGTTTTGTTGAAGTGTCGAGATTTCGATAAACAATAATGCGACGCGTGCAATTGTTTTTTAAACGTTTAACGCGCGCACGTCCTAAAATCGCATTGTTCCCCTATGTTTTTGTGGTTTTTATTTTCCTGTTCGCTAATATCCTATACCCACGGCCGACCGTATATCATTACGACATCGCGACGATCGTTATTACCAATCTCGTTTCCGTACGAGTACCGCCCGTCGAACAGTACAGTACACGGGATTAATCAGCGTTCGCGCACCTTTCCGGTCGGTTCCGTGTGCAAAATACCCGCGCCATTACGAATCTCGCAATGGCCCGTGGGCGCCGGTCTCCGAGCGTCCGCGTGTTGCCGCATTATATACCGCGCGGTTGTATTATCAATAGGGCCCGGATTTATAACGCGTTTGCGTGGTTTTTTTGTTTTTTTTTAACAGTCCAAAAAGTAACTGGATAAGCTATACGAGTTTGTGTTGTAGTCAATGGATCCGAAATACAAAATTTTACTTTGCATATTTTGTCATTTTTTTTTTTTTTTTTTTTTTTTTTTTGATGTGTACTATGCCATATGTCTGTATTTTACGTTTTTTATTTCATTGCACTATAGTCGAATATACCTACCTATGAGCGTTTCAAACCCATATATCGATACTATAAAACGTTTTATTGCCAGTCGTTCAAAACACGATATGTCCGAAATGAAATTAAATATAAATCTACAATATTTTCAATTGTTCAATACTCGAATTTATGGTTTACTGAAATAAAATTAATTATTTCGGCCTAAATATGCAATACTCTGTATAAATTATTACTCATTGAAACCAGTAAGTACTGGTGTAATAAAATTCGTTTTAATTTTTCTCGGGCATATCCATCGAGCAGTATTATTTTTTTTTCTTTCTTAAAATTACGTACGAATATTTGCTGTACAGTGTTAATTAATTTCCTGTTTCAGTTTTGAAACATTCCATTATAATTTAAGAAACCTTGATTTTTAACGACCGTACCAATATTCCGACAACTTGTATTATTGTTGCGTACGGAATTTCGGGAACATTATAAACAAGAAGGTGTTATAAAACAAACCTGAATGAAAAAACCCGAAAATAATTTAATCGTGTAATATAACAAAATATTAATGATAACTACCGCAGGTTCGTACGATAAAAAGGCTCACTCTGCACGTATATACGCGTAATCTTATCCCGCGATAAGTGTGTGTCTATTTTGGTCCGCCCGCCACTACCCCGTTCATTTATCTATACAGGGTGATTCTCTTATCACGTTTTCGTTTTTTTTTTTTTT